GGAACACGGTGCGGTGGCCCCGCGCGTGCAGGGCGGCGGCCAGCGTCTTGAAGATGTACATGTGGCTCTCAAACATGATGGGCGGCACCACGATGATCTTGGCGGCGTCGGCGACCCCGAGGGCGCCCCACAGGAGCACCAGGTACGGCAGGCAGGACGTCATCGCTGCAAAGACAGAGTCCGCTGAGCACAGCCTCACAGCCCCGGGCACAGCCTCACAGCATAGCCCTGGGCACAGCCTCACCACACAGCCCCATGGAGGGCAGGAGGTTGGCCAGCCCTGAGCTGGGGCACTCACAGCAGGTGCAGGACAGGCGTCCTCACTGCTGCCCTCCAGGGCCCGGACTGACCAGGCCACCCTCCAACCTCCTGTTCAGTGTCCCGCCCAGATGAGCCCCGAAGTGTGTCTGCAGGGGACTTGGGGTATCTGGACCAAAGGCAGACACACACTGTGGTGGGCACAGCCTCACCGCACAGCCCTGTGGAGCCTCACCGTGTGGGCACAGCCTCACCACACAGCCCTGTGGGCACAGCCTCACCACGGCCACCTGCCCGGTTCCTGCCCCAGGACCCCATCCTCTCTAAGCACCTGTGTCCCTGCAGGGTCACTGAGCCAGGAGGACAGCTCACGTGCACGGCGTGCAGGCTGCGTGGGTAAGAGAGCCTTGTGTACACACTCCAGTGTGACCCGAGACGTCCCGAGAGACATGGGCACCTGGGGACCCTCAGCTCGGGGACCATCAGCTCGGGGACCCTCAGCTCGTCTTTTCACCGAGCACCAGTCCGTCCAGGAAGCTGGGCGAGAGGCGTGTCTCTCATTTAATCCTTCCATCTCGGCAGCTACCTTCCCCGCTACAACCAGGCAAACACTGACTCACAAACAACGGCTCAGGTCGGAGTTCTACCCGGGACACTTTCCCCAGGAAAACGCCCTGCAGTGTGGTCTGCCTTTCGTCCGGACACCCCGAGTCCCTGCAGACGCACTTCGGGCTCATCTGGGCCAGACACCCCGAGTCCTGAGACGCACTCGGGGCTCATCTGTCCAGACACCCCGAGTCCCTGCAGACACACTCGGGGCTCATCTGTCCAGACACCCCGAGTCCCTGCAGACACACTCGGGGCTCATCTGTCTGGACACCCCAAGTCCCCTGAGACGCACTCGGGGCTCATCTGGGTGGACACCCCAAGTCCCTGAAGACGCACTCGGGGCTCATCTGTCTGGACACCCCGAGTCCCTGCAGAGACACTTTGGGGCTCATCTGTCCGGACACCCCGAGTCCCTGCAGACGCACTCGGGGCTCATCTGGGCTGGACGCTGAACAGGAGGTCAGAAGGCCTGGTGTGTCCGGGCCCTGGAGGGCGGCAGCGAGGACGCCTGTCCTGCACCTGCTGTGGGTGCCCCAGCTCAGGGCTGGCCAACCTCCTGCCCTCCATGGGGACAGACAAGGTGCAACAGGGAAGCGTCCGCTGGCCCCGTGACAAGGGACGACCCCGCCTGGGGGGCCACCAGGTGCCAACTGCCATCCCCCGTGCTACCTGCTGTCATGGGCGCTGACGCCATACAAGCAACCAGCGCCCGGACAGAGAAAAGGTCCCGGCAGGAACTTCGCAAAAACCGGACACTTTTACCTCAAGGATCACCTACACAGACTCCTGCCATCACCACCAGAATCTGCTCTCACTCTCATCGCCCACGAACCCGTCCGCACAAACCCACCGCCCACAGTTTAACAACGATACCTTCTCAACATGCAAGGGCTGCAAGCGACCTAAAAAAAAGAAATAAAGAAAAGGAATCAGTAGCAGGCAAGGGAGAGGTGAAACAGCTGACGCCATACAAGCAACCAGCGCCCGGACAGAGAAAAGGTCCCGGCAGGAACTTCGCAAAAACCGGACACTTTTACCTCAAGGATCACCTACACAGACTCCAGCCGTCACCACCAGAATCTGCTCTCACTCTCATCGCCCACGAACCCGTCTGCACAAACCCACCGCCCACAGTTTAACAATGATACCTTCTCAACATGCAAACGCTGCAAGCGACCTAAAAAAAAGAAATAAAGAAAAAGAATCAGTAGCAGGCAAGCGAGAGGTGAAACATCGCATGTCCAGGGCGCTGTCCTCTCCCTCCAAGCGAGTGTCCAAGGACGGCGAGGCGCGAGGGCACACGGCCATTCCGAGCAGAAGCAGCACGTGACACACGTGTGGATCACCCACGTCAGATGCTGCTGCACTGGACACGAGGGCTTTAAACAGGTGAAGGCGGGGAGGACGCTGCTCCCGCAGCAGGGAAGTGCGTGACGCTGGTCCCAGGGCCTTGGTGGGAGGGAGGGTGTGGCCAGACTCAGAGACACGTCCCGGGACGTGGTCCACGGCGCAGCCTCGCAGGCCGTCTGCTCTGGTCTGGCCACTTCCAGGGAAGAAAACGTTAGGGCCCTGAAGTCCACATGTTCTGAATTCCCGGAACGAGATTCATGCAAAAAAATTCTTTCAGCAGCGTGTCCGCAGCCTGTCGCTGCCCCAAGCCCACACGGACATGGGTGGCGGGCCAGTGGTCCGCAGCACCCACGCGTGTGTGTCAAGGGGGCTGGGCACCCAGTCCAGGCACCTACTGTTCAAACTGTCACTCACTCTGTGTCCCAAACAGCTGGGAAACAAACCCATTTCTAGCCACAGAGGCCGGGGACGGGCCAGGCCGCCCAGAAGAGAGGCCCCGTGAACCTCATTCTATTCTTTCTTTTCTGTTTCGTATTGTCTTTCGGTCACGGATACGCTGTGAAAACAAGTCACTCAGCACGGTCTTTTGTTGGAACTGGTTTCTGAGAGGGAGGAGGACAGACAGACGGGAGAGGCCACGACCTCGCTGTCCCAGGAGGGGCCTCCGTGGCTACTGAGAAGCCGCCTGCACCTGCGGGGCCTGAGGAACTGAAATTTAAATCCTACGTAACGTAACCACCCGCGGCTGGTGGCTGCTGCGCTAGAATAAAGTTTTAAGAAGGGCATAGAGCCCGGCCGGCGTGGCTCAGTGGTTGAGCGTCAACGTATGAACCAGGAGGTCACAGCTCGATTCCTGGTCGGGGCACATGCCCGGGGTTGTGGGCTCGATCCCCAGTGTGGGGCGTGCAGGAGGCAGCCGATCCATGATTCTCTCTCCTCATTGATGTCTCTGTCTCTCCCTCTCCCTTCCTCTCTGAAATCAATAAAAATATATTTTTTTAAAAAAGAAACTGCTCCATCCAGACAGTGTAGTACTCCTCAGAGCTAAAAAGAAATGAGCTACGAAGCCGTGAGAAGACGTGGAGGAGCTTCAACGCACGTTCCTAAGTGGCAGCCGCCAGCGGCCACGGCCACACGCTGTGCGAGTCCAACTCCGTGCCACTCGGCAAAGGGAAGGCCCCAGACAGGGCCCAGGAGGCGCACGGGGATGATCTGAGTCAGGAAGTGACCCGGCCGTGTGACCGGTGGCGACGGGCAGGTGTGTCCTACGTCTGTCCAAACCACGGCGCGTGCAGCACCAGTGGCCCAGATGCGAGCTGTGGACGCTGGGGGATGAGGACGTGTCCCTGGGGTTCATCAACTGTGGCAAATGTCCCCTCTGGTGGGGACGCAGAACATGGAAGGGGAGCCCACTTGTGGCAGGGGGTGTACAGGACACCTCTGTACTTCTGTGAGCCTAAAACTGCTCTAAAAAAATAAAAAGCCATCTATAATAATAAAAGCGTAATATGTTCATTAGACCGGGCGACCTTCCGGATAACCTTCCAGACGAAGCCTGGGTCCCGAGTGCCAGAGGGAAGCCGGTGCCGGCAGCCAGGGGAAAGAAGGCCTACTCTTGCACCAATTTCATGCACCGGGCCTCTAGTAAAGTAAATAAAATACCTTTAAATGTAACTAAAAGTATATTTGCTCTCTACTAAGTATGACAAGCCTTCTCCTGAAGACACAGAAATATACAAACTGTGTAGAAACTCTGTATTATGTTGTTAATCCTCACCCGAGGATATTTTTCCATTGATTTTTAGGGAGAGAGGAAGAGAAAGGGAAAGACAGAGAGAACATCGATGTGAGAGAAACACACCAATGGGTTGCCTCCCGCATGTGCCCCAATTAGGGGCTGAGGCCAGGGAGGAGCCTGCAACCGAGGTACGTGCCCTCGACCGGAATTGAACCCGGGACCCTTCGGTCTGCTGGCTGACGCTCTAGCCACTGAGCCACACTAGCCAGGGCGAAACCCTGCATTGTTTTAATGGGAAACTATATCCCATAAGATGTCTTCCTTCCCAAACCACCTCTGAGCAATGTGGGCGTCACATCGGAGCGCCATCCCGAGTCTGCACCGGTTCTGCAGGTACAAAGCTCCTGCCACCGTCCCCCCGAGAGCATCATAAGGGCTCCCCACAGGGGCTGCGTGGTCTGGGCACCCCCGGGGGGCAGCCGCCCTGCACACCCTGCCCGCCCTCTCAGCGCCTCCTAACACAGAAGCTCCATGCATGCTGTTCCCACCGCCAGCCATGCTTGTCCTCGCCCCTGCAGCTGTATTCAGACCCTGCCTCCAGGCCAGCGCTCACAACCTCCCTCGCGGTCCTTCTGTGCCCGCAACGGGGCTGTGGTCAGTGGGTCTTCCTGTGACTCTCTGACGAGCTCTATTTTCCTCTAAGCCAGTGGTCAGCAAACTCATTAGTCAACAGAGCCAAACATCAACAGTACAACGACTGAAATTTCTTTTGAGAGCCAAATTTTTTAAACTTAAACTATATCGGTAGGTACCTTGTTATTAACTTCATGAGGGTACTCCTAAACTGGCCTTTGCTAAAAACGTCCTCAGTCTGATTGAGGTACGTTCGCTGAGGTCGACCCCTTCCAACTCTCCCATCCACACTCGTCTTGTATACTTGTTTCGTCTATCTCCTTTCGTTCATCCTCTCTGTATGTCCAAACCATCTCAACATACCTTTCTCAATGCTCGACACTACATCTTCTTTCACTCCACAACGTTCCCTAAAATTAACTTAATAAACTTTACTTAAAGCTTTAAGTCAACTTCGCACTGTACGTTCGCGCCCACACGTGGTATTTTGTGGAAGAGCCACACTCAAGGGGCCAAAGAGCCGCATGTGGCTCGTTGCCGACCACTGCCCTAAGCTCCTGTGGGGAGGTTCATTGCCACCCCGCCAGCTGCCGACCCGAAGGCACCGCCCTTTCCCTCCACCAGTGCAGGGTGAGGAGGGTGGAGCTTAAAACGCACCCCCAGACTCACACATGGAGGGGGGTGGTTTCTTTCATGGGATTGGCCAGGAGGGGCCTTTCCTGACACGGCGCGGTCCCTGCGCGGGCACAGCGTGATGCATAAGCCCCTGGGAAAGGCGAATTGGCAGGAATGTCCTGAGAAACAAGCAGCAGGTCCCTGTATGCCAGCGGTTCTCAACCTGGGGGTCGCGACCCCTTTGGGAGTCGAACGACCCTTTCACAGGGGTCGCCTAAGACCATCGGAAAACACATATATAATTACACATTGTTTTTGTGATTAATCACTATGCTTTAATTATGTTCAATTTGTAACAATGAAATTGGGGGTCGACTGGTGTGTGGGGAGCCCTCCTGCCCCCGCGCCCAGCAGGGGGACCCCCCCCCCCCCCCCGCCCCGCAGCAGGAGAGGACCACGCAGACCCCAGTTGAATCTCACATTCGCCCCAACCGATAGAGTTGGCCTGGGGACCCACGGCTCCGAGTTCGACTCCGGTCAAGGGCACGTCCCTCCGTTGCAGGCTCCTCCCTGGCCCCGGCCCTGGTCGGGGCACATACAGGAGGCAACCCATCGATGTGTTTCTCTCACATCGATCTCTCTCTCTCTTCTTCCCTCTCTCTTCCTCTCTCCCTAAAACCAATGGGAAAATATCCTCGGGGGAGGATTAGCAAGAAGAAAACAATGTCCGCAGTGGAATTTTAATGGCGAAATACTCCACCTGCTAAGAAAGCAGGAACCAAAACTGTGTCCACGAAACCCATGTTTGCAGAGAATGATGGTCCATCTATGCCCACAGAGAATGATCAGAACGACAAGGAAGACAGGAAGCCCACGTGAGGCGACATGGTCCCCCCCCCGTGACCAGCGGGGGGTCTGGGCTGCCACACGCGTGACCGGGCTTCCTCTTCCTGCCTCTGTTCTTCCAGGGCCTGAGGTTTTCCACCAAAACAGCCCCTCCCTCACTCGGCTCCCACATAAGCATGACCTCCCCTGGCGCGAGCCTCCCCCCAGCGCAGG